GGATCAGCACAATGCCATAGTGCTCCCACATCAGGTGGAGGTCGGATCCCGAGTGTGGTTATACTTGGATCGGGTGCGAGAGGGAAATGCCATGAAGCTTGCGCATCTGTGGCATGGCCCCTTCCGTGTGGCCGAGAAGATCGGCGATTATGCAGTAAAACTTGAGATCGCCGGATCCGCATACTATATCTTCCCCATAGTACATGTGGCGAAGATCAAACCTGTCAGAGGATTTCTGGATCGGCCGGTAATACGACTTGTGACGCAAGATCAAGATCGCCTGGATTTCGACGAAGCACCCTTCCCAGAGATAGCTGGATCCAAGATCGCGATCCGGACGAGTATGATGTCGAGAAGATCTCGGACATGAGGACTGGCCGGAAGACAAGATATGGTCGGATCTTGCGTGAATTCTTAGTACACTGGCGGGGGGATGAGGATCAGGATCGATGAGGCGGATCTCAACTGTGGAGCGATACTTTACGAGTTGTTACGGGATCGTGCCAATCAGAACCGGTTTGGCATGATGCAATCTCACGAAGAGGCCTGTGGGCAGGATCCACATAGGTGAGTTGATCACCAATGTGAGATGTTTGAGATGAAGGATCTGCAGGAAGGCTGCAGATCGGAGGAAGGTAGGTACATATTTGTATATATCACAGTGTGCCAAGGCAAGATCCGAGATGATGTGGAAGTGGATCTCGAAGTATGAACTCTGCAAGATCCGAGATGATGGGGAAGTGGATCTCGACGTATGAACTCTGCAAGATCCGAGATGATGTGGAAGTGGATCTCGAAGTGTGGGAATTAGATGTGGACGATCAGTGGAAAGAAGAGAACATGTATTAATGGAAAGATCACAGATCCGTTAGATCAGCAGATTCAGCTGATACCTTCGGGTCGGCGGGCGCGTCAGGATCCGAGGGTGAAGCGGGTCGGGCGCTCTCCATGTCGAAGAACTTCTCCATCAGCCGAGGGATCCGATGCGCAGGATGATCAGCCGCAGAAGTGCGGTAATGATTGCGCCAAGGATCTGCTTCGTCGCACTCAGCAAGTGCTTCAATCAGGTTGGCCGGATCCGGTCGACCAGCGCGTCGCGCCTCGATCCCTGGGTACCAAGTCACTTCATCGGATCTCTTTGGGAAATGTAAGAAAAACGGATCCAGTAGGAGATCGAGATCGCATCAACCCTCCTGCATAGCCAAAACAAATATGGGCAGGATCCTGCGCCAGCGATCACCAACGTGAGATCGCCGGTTGTTACGGCCCTTGCAGAGAGCCGCCAGACGTGGATCATCCGCGCACATACGCTTG